CTCCCCTCCTCTCGGCCCCCCGACTCCTTATGTCTCTCATTCGTACGCTCGCCAGAAGTGCATGCCGAGCACTTTTGAAAAGATTTAGCGGAATTTTGTGTTGACAAGCTCCTTCCGGAATAAATAAATTGAAGGATGAAAATGTCAAACTTGAAACTTTTGCGATATTTAAAAATATCTCAATTCATCAAATCTCATAAAAGAGAATGTATTTATTATTAATGTTTGTAATGAAAATCATTGTAATCCCATACGGAACAATAAAACCTATTTCTATATATTTATTATTATTAACATTTATAAAGAAAGAGCTTCTATCGGAAGATTAGTATTTGATATAATTATATATTGTGTTTTTATTTGTCTTTCTTAGCTCTCTTCAGCATCCATCGTGTTTATATAAAAGTAAATTAAATCTATATATTGATTCAACTTCTTTATTGTTAAAAAAAAGAGAGCAATATCGGTTTTATTTTATCGAATCAAAAGATGAAAGCTCCAAGTTTCAGACGTGGGTTATCTGTTTCATCTTTCTTTCGCTATCCGAGGAACGATCGCGTTCGTCGCTAAAACGTTTGTCAGGACGAGAGACGTTGAAGTACCGAAGCCTAACAATGGTACCGCAGACTCTTCACGTCTGATGTCTTGATTTCCGTCAGTGGCTTTGGTAAATCTTTCCGATTCTTCCCGACAGGATTGCACCGTCGCTCGGTAGCTTCGCGCGCGGATTTTAACCGTTTCTCATTTCTGCTTTCGACAGAAAGAGCGACAACGACGCGATGCGCGATGTCTGTCGCGTATACGCGCGCCATGCATCGATTTTGCCGCGGGTAAAAGTGCGGAAAAGAGGACTCGGACTTTGCGTTCGACGCTTCATCGATACGGATTTAATTTTCGTGAAAGCGGACGCGACCGGCGAGTATGCGAGCGATCCGAATAGCCCCCGTGGAACCTGCTACGAAAGCAGAATACGAGAATCTACGGCCAGGATACGTGACCGGATACGACAACTCGAAGATAGAAAAATGATCTATTGGCAAAGTTTGTTGGAGGAGGTGCCGATAGGAAGATGGATGGCGCGGTAATGCTGTTTGCAGAGAGTTCCAATTCTCCCGTTGGATAATATAATTTCCAATCTCGCCAGTGTTACTCTTGAGCCGCAAGTATTGCAGCCCCACGGATTAATGGCATACGAATAGACGCGTGCTGATGACACGACAGGTTGAGATACATGATCGATGTTACTAACAAAAGTCGGGAGGGTAATGCATTTTGTGAGAGTAAACATTATTTATAAGAGAAAATGATTGGTGATAATTAATTAATGTTTGCAAGAGTCAAATCAAGTCAAATAACATACATTTGGAATGCTCATAATGTATTTATAAATAATGTTTATTCGTATGCACTATATTATTATTGTAAAAATATACATGTTAGTGTATTAGTATCTACATGTTATTATTTTCTTGAATCTACATATCAGTGATTTTTTATGAACAGATTTTTAAACGGAAATATATTGCGCAAAATACGATAAATTAACATGAACTGCAAACAAAGTACAAGAAAGAACGTTTTGCCTCATTTAAGATGGCGTAAGATTTGATAAGAATTGTTATCAGTGCTTGTGTCTAGATACGGTGCGATAATGCGACAAATGCGCGCAAACGTGGAACGCTATTCGCGTAGCTGCGTAGCTCGAAGGTGACAAATATTTATGTAATTCACAGTGAGTAAACTGCGCGGGATACCCTAATCGTTCTCCGAGGCGAGATAGAAATCGTACCTGTCGACAAGTAGAAATTAATTTCTATGTGTTTCCAGCGTGGTGAGGCATTCGAATCTAGATAAAGGAACCCCCCCCGTATACCGACCTTTAGGGATCCACAGCGACCCTTTTGTTAAATGAATTCCTCCCTAGAGCCGCACATATCACTTAAACTCTACAATTGTCAAGGAACCTGTAGTATACCGTTAGTACGCTCTTGTAAACTTATGTAACAATTTACCTTTATACAATCGCGTCCCTCGCTCGGTTCGGAAGGAAATATATATTATTTATCTAGGCAAAAAATTATTTATATCGCGCCGCATTGTGCATCGCTTGTTAAAGTAAATGATGCAACCAAACTGCTCATTGTGGCGATACATCGCAGATAACGCCATAAATAATATGCGTCATATGGCAATATCGACACATACCTATTTGCATGGCGTAAAATTAAAATAAACATCATATGTCATGCGCACATCGATATATCATTTATTTTATGTTACCGGCATTATACGTGACAATATGCTACGCTTTCTATTTAGCGATACCATTTTACGTGATTTATCGGCAGCGCGTTAAGTAATTATATTTAAAAAAAAAAAAAGAATTTATCTCTCTGACGAAATATCGTTACACTCTCGCCCTATTCAATCATTATTCTTTTATCACAATATTTTGATAGCACTTACCTACAACATAAAAATTAAATTTCATAGGAATTAATAAAATGCGCACATATTATTCATTTAATAAAAAAATGGATAAGGTATCTATTGGAATAATATTTTTATATAAGCTATCACTTTTTTATTTACGTCACACAGAAACCGGCTATGTTGCGCGAATTATTTACGAGCGTTTCACCCCTAAAATGTGCCATATCTGATAAATGGACGTTCCCAACCTTTTTTGAGGACCCTTTCCAATCGATAATTTATTATTTGCCGAATACTGGACAACTATAGCTTATTGAAAAAAAATTCTTCTTAATTTATGCGATCAGATTTTTTTAATTTCACGGATTATTCAAATGCATTCGCTTCATTATATTGAAATTTTAGCAAGCCTCGGCAAGCATTTTTAAAAAAAAAGAGGAAAAATTCCGCTCTTCGAATCGCGCTCGTTTTACATAAGATGGGTACATATTTTAGCGACATCCACTCGGCGGGGGGTAGATGAAAAAGACTTAGGAGCACAGCGATGAGAGAGGTGAAGAATGGCGCAATGTCGCACGTCGCACCGAAGGTCGAGGGAGAGGATTTAGCCCTCTCACATCGGAGGAATGTCGGCGAGTTATTTTAGGCCTTTCCAACTCCCTTATACCATTCTACGGAGAGACGCGTTTACGCGACGTAACGAAATAATGAAGAAGGGCGCGCGCGCGACACTCTCCTGACTTTCGACGATGAAAAAAGAATCTTTTCTCTACAAACATTCCCTTATCCCTCCTCTCTTTTCCATTCTCTTCTCTTTACACCATCTTCTCGCTCTTTCCTTCCATCTCTCTCTCTCTCTCTTTTATGATTCCTGAAAGAATACCGGAGCACACGCTAAAGGGAATACTTTACAATGATGAAGAACGTTGTGACATTTTCCGCGCATAAATACTTTTTCCATTAGAAGGGAACATAGAGCAGAAACGTGAGCCCTTGTTCTAGGAGCCTCTTTGTCCCCGTAAACAGCCTTTTTAAAGCCGTGCTTGTGAAAAAGTTACGGATTATCTACGATGACGTAAGGTCGCATTTTCGTGCGCTCTCAGGCTGAAAGCCTGATGAGATGCAATTAACGGAATTTGGATCTTTACGTTGTTTATTTTAGAAATCTTGTCCTTCCTGATCAAGATGTTCCGGAGGATTCCTGACTCGACACGGGAAGAAAGAGCGCGCTCGCGCGCGCGCGCGCTTCAAAGCGTAATGTTTCTTATATATTGTGCCCCTAATATTATATGCGCTTCCTCTTCTCTTCCGCTTGAATTTCCGTTACGAAGGAAGTCTCGTATCGGATATTCTCACGGCGAGTTTTTTCCATGCCAAGAGGTATCTCATTCTCAGCTTTCGCGAGCAATGAAATTATGAAAAATAAAGAACCGAGCCACAAACGGCACAGGATGAGCGTTAAATTACATTTTCCAGTCGTCCGCCAGGAATTAAAATAGAGAGAAAAATAAAAGTCTAAAGTCAACGATTACTCAAAAAAGGCCGCGATATCTTCTTAGCGAATATAAAAGAACTTTCATAATTGTTTTAGCAAAAACAGCATTATTTCAATCTTTTACGAATAAAACCCTTATGAGCTGTAATAATAATTCGAGTTCCTGTTGTACAGCTCTTTTATTAACATTATTATATCAAATTAATTGTATCATGACAAATTTAGGACGTAAGAGTATTTTTCATTAATTAGTCACCGTTATATTATAATCAAATGTAGTACAAATTAGCGGCGTAATCTTAAGTTCATTAATAGCGGAGTTTTTTCTCGATTGTAACGCGCTCAGTAACAATTATTGGGTACAATAACAGTGCAGGTGCGACGCTGCGCTGTTACATCATTGGTACAAAGCAAGAAACTCTAGTTACACACGGTTAACGTTAATTCGGCTGCAACCGCCTCTTGAATATGTTAATTAACTCCGAAATGCGGCGATAACACGGAGTTCCGTATGATGTATGTAAGCCGTACAGTGTAAACAAAACATTTTAATAGATTTTGCCGATGGGCTATGAGATTTGCCAATCTGGCATAATGCAGAAATTTCCGTAGCCTCTGTTATCAGTGTGAAATGAGTAATCGTAACATGGGCGACCTACTTTCACATTAGTCAGTAATTATTCAGCAACGCACAAATGAACGTCATTGAGTTTTGTTACTGCAATTAACAATTTGCCTCAGCAGCAAATAATCTAACGTTATTGTTGCTTGATATTCCTACGCTTTCTGTAGAATATCGTGATTTGCGCAATAACTGTTTGATCTGCAACCGTCAAAATACTTGCAAAAAATAGCAAAAAAATTTCAAAAACCACCATAATTGTCACAATCCTTATTTACCATTTGCAAAACTTTATATATAATAAAACAAAAATGCCATTGACAATCTAAGTTATTTATCTTGCCCTAAAAAAAATACGATTATATTAAACTTAAAATAAACAATACACAAAAATCCTTTTTGTAATTTTTTTTAAACTTTGGAATATAAAAACAACAACAAAAAACTCACGTATTTTCCTTCTGGTCGCCGTTGGCCGAGTGCGACGGAGACGGCTGGGTCTGCTGTTTGGAGTAGGGATGGTGGTGCACCACGTTGTTGTTATTATTGTTGTTATTATGCATGTGCACCTTGTTAGCGTTGCTGTCGGTGGGGGAGCCCGGCGAGATTTTACCCGCCAGAGCGTTCAGTGACTGTAGCATTTTCATCGGAGTTCGTTTGGCGACCGGAAGTCGGTGCCTCCTTCGCTCGGGCTCGTTTATCGTTGAGGAAGACAGGATTATTGTACGCTTACGGTTTGAAGGCGTCAACCCTCAAACTCGACTGTACTGTGCACGAACAAGCTACTTCAAGAAGGGTCTCAGGCGAACTGCGAGAACGGCACCGGACACTTTCGATACACGAATAACGACGACTCGAAATCTTAGCACGAGGCGCACACACTTATCACGTGGATTAACCACGACAACACGAGAGCACACGGCCGAAAAAACTGGTCCCGCTGAAGTCTTGTTCAATTCGTACGAGCGGCGCGACCCCTGACAGCGATCGATCCGACCTTTCGTTTCGTATATACTTTAGAACTCAGACAAATATTGGAGCGTCTTTTGAGATCCGTTGTGACACAATCCAGTTGTGGGCGCGAATACGAAACCCTGTGGACAAGTATCGGTGACAGATAAGGATTTTATCTACATTCACGGATGATTTTATGTATGTGATTATCGATGCACGCGTCATTAAATTTAATCAACGAGCTTATGCATTCGTTATCAATTTAAGATTCATGCAAACTGACATACAGTATGTGCAATACTGCCGATTCGGACTGATTATAAAAATAATTAAAAATATAATCAAGACCGGTATTCACAGTCAGATATATATGTGTTTAAAATCGTTTTAAGTTCGCATCTTCAGATTCTATAGTAAATAAAACAAATTATATAATGCAACCTCTAAAGAGAGATAAACTTGAGATGACCTTAAATTATAAGATTATAAGATCTAACTATGAACACCGGCTTAAATCACGTATCCATCTGTATATTTATTTTTGTCTCTCCTGAATATTCTAATTCTCCACGTTTAATGATATTATTTTTATCAATTTCACGAAAACCTCGTGTTCAGAGATCGAATTAAAATTACTTTCTTCACAGAAATTATGTAAAACAATTATTAATCTGATACCCGTATTCCTATATTATCTGTTTCTATTTTAATCTAACAAAATTTAATTAATTGTGTGCGCAAAAGAAGTTTTCTAAGTATACTCAAATTTTTGAGGATAAAAATATATCCAGATATACTAAAAGAGAAGCAGAAACATTTTTCTTTATACAGTTAACAGTTAATTAGAAATTTTAGCTCGTTTAATTGAAATATTGAATGTTATATAAATGCTAAAAATTATATAACACTATATTAAAATAATGCAACATAAGGACAACGTCATTTTTATCACTGACGAGGAAAACTCGCAAACTCAAAAATTCTGAACAACTAAAAGTTTTCAAATTCATCTATTTACTCCCCTCCCCCCTACATGTGTGTAAAGTTTCGTCAAAATCAGAGTTATCGGTTTCGCGCGATTCCCTCGTGAGTATAATATGCTGAACTATTTTTCTTAATAAGATTCTAAGCGCCTTATCGACGGCAAACTGCATGTTCGTCATTATAATCTGTCCGTGCACGCGGAACGAAAAACGCGGCGTAGACGTGGGAAACGCACGTAGACGAGCGCCGAACTGGAGAACACGGGACGACACCGTGGAGAAAAACTGACTAAGCGGGCGCGTGCGTTGTAAACTGCTTTACAACGAGTCAATTAAAAGTTTAAGTTTAATTAGAAACTCGAGTCATGTGCGGTGCGCGAGCGAGGATGGAAAAGGAGGCTGATATCGCTGCCCGTTCTCTCGCCCGTTTACCGCCCGCCGGTTTTCTTCCTTCTCCCACCTCCTATCTCTCACCTTTCTCGTACCTCGTAGTCGCCTCGCCTTTCCCATCTGCGTAACTCCCGAGTCCCGAATTATACCGGCTCGCAAACTCCCTTTTGTTTCGCGCGCGCGTTCTCGCATCGGGTCAAGTCTTGGAAACCCCGGCGCGGCGCGGAAGAACGAAGAACGTGGGAGATACGCGCGATAGGAAGAAACTGATGGAGCTTCAGCGGAACGATACGACGGGGAGAATCCGTCGCCTGAGAATTCGAATTAGTTTCCGCGACTTGGCGCGAAGGAGCATTTGCCGATTTCCCGTCGCAATAGGACGAAACTCTATGGACTCTTCAACTTTAACGAAACCAAAGCGGGAGAGTTTATGAAGCGGAAAAGTGGATGGCACTTAGAATCTTCAAATGTGTCACGACATGTCCCTTTTTTTATATTTTATCTGAACTTTATATCGTATGGTTAATTTAAGTATATATTCCATTTATAAATAATATTTTCAATTTTGATGTAATTGAAAAAGAATTTCAAGAATAGAAGTTTGAAAAATGAAAATGGAAATTCCTTCCTATTCATTTATTTTATATAAATTGAAGTAAAAATTTAAATAAAATATATATGTAATTCTGTTTATCGATCCAAAATCTGACATAGAAATTATTATTTTCGGCTTTCCAAGATTTTGAGTCCAATTTTTTATTTAATCGTGACAGTTGTATTTGCTGATGTAATCTAACTAAAATTTTATCAAAATTAATCTCTGAATTAGCGAAAAGTTGAGTGTAGATATAAAAAAGACAGTTGCTGTACGCAATATATAATATAATTTTACAACTTTTCTTAATTTATTAATCAAATTATGTTTTAAGTTCAATGAGATTAAGAAAAGAATTTCCGGTAATTATATAAAATAAGGTGAAGTTAAAAGAGTCGCAGTTGAGATAATTTGAAGGTCCGTCGTTTTTACTAAATCTATTCTTGCAAAACCAAGAGAGAATTGAATAGATACTTGCAAATCTGCCACTGCAAAACGCGGAAGGAAGAGAAGCCGAGCCGACGCGACGCGACGGGTGTAAGAACTCACGGTGAAGAGATTTTAGCTTCTTGCGGATTACATTTGAAGGTCCGAAGTCGAGGGCAAAAAGACGAGGGCGCCAGGAATGCGCTGGTTTGAAGGGAAAAGGCAAGTTGAAGTGGAGGAGCGAGAATTCACGGCGAGAACGGAGGGATATAATTACCGGAACTACAACGGTTGTCGAATGTCAAAGAGATCGCGCATAATTTAACACATGAGGCGGAAACTGTACAAAGCGCATGACGCTGTGGGCGGGAAAAATAGGAAAAATAGAGGAGAGACGGAGCACCGTCGTTTGCGGGGGCTTATGCCGTAAGCGACAGCGAAAAAGTGAAGAGACGAGGAAAAAAAAGGCGCGACGAGAGGAAAAGGGGGAGAACAGAAACTATATCTTGATATGCTACACCTAAACCTTTTGTCCCGTACACATTTTTGCCTCTCCAGCTCTATACTCAACTTTCGCCTCGCCTTTCCCCCTCGCCTCCCCTCGCCCGCTCTCACCCACACCCTCGGTACACGTCGACGCTCTTTGTCGGCACCCACTTAACGCGCTAAAGCGTCAAATTAAAAACTCGAGGCACCCTGAAAACGGCGATTAATCGCTCTCGTGGCAGTGATTGCCCGTTATCGTTCTTGCTCGTTGCCGTCGTCGACTTTATAGCGCGTTTCCCCCGCGGCTCTTTTTCTCACTGAGACCGCGCGACTTCCCCGTACCTTTTTGACTCACGCGACACCACTGGACACCTGGCCGGAAGCGACACTTTCAAGATACCTCGTCGGAACTGCAGAACGTTGCGCGAATCGCGAGATCACTGTGACCTGAGCGGCGAAACGATCTCGTCGACGGCACCTGAGCACTACGACTGATGACTCGACGAGCGCAGTTGCCGACCATCGTATCTCCGGATAAGCCTTATCGGTACCCAAAGACCCCACCCTTCGTCGGTGGGACGCATCCCTCGCGTGTCTCTTTTTTTTTTACGACACACTCGCGTACTTTTCTGCCACGTTGACGACAAACTATTTCGCGCAATTCTCTCGCTTGCGCTGTTCGCGTGCCGCGTTTCTCTTTCTTTCTTTTCTTTTTTATTACGATGCACCTGACACCGTCAGACACTGTTAGACGTCAGGCACGTCGCTCGAGTCACCAGCTTATCCGGAATCGTCGACGAGGAGGTGGTCTTTGGAGTGGCATGCGATCGTTCATGCGCGATCCAGACGCGTCATGACGACGCTCGGCGACGTTTTGGATAGGCGAATCGCGTTAAGGAGTGCTTTTCTCACGGAGTCCCACAATGATGATCATTTCTCTCCCGCGTTATCACTTATGATCCATGAAGAATGAGGAGCCGCGTCGATTTTACGACGTCGCCATGTCGATCGTCATCTGCAAAGAATGTTCAACAGTTAAAGATATTGTACTCTCCTGTTTTAATTAAACGTCGTTGAAGTCGTCCGATCCAAAATCGCAAAGCTAATAATTATAATTTCCGTTAGCATCTTCAATTAAATTCGGATCATTAAAAATAACAAAGTATTTGTTATTGGTGTATACGAAATGTGCAGATACATTTTATTTCTTAAATATCTACAGAAGATTAAAAATTAATGAAGAATTTATAAAAAAAGAAATAAAGAAATATAACAATAAATTTACTAATATTATTACCTTCGCCGATCAGAGAATAAATCAAATCGGGGAACGCAGTATTCAATTCAATTAACATCTCCACTTATATAATTGTACATACGTAAATTGTAAATTGAAGAAAAACCGGATGGGTGGCCCTAAAAGTGTCTAACAATAGCCCACTTCGTGGGCTAAAAGCGAAAGAATGTTCGTCAATATTTTCTCACTACCAGGCCGAGGCGATGAAGCAGACACCGACCGGCGTTCTTGGAGATTAGATAAGACGTGGAACGCTCCGCTGCAGTAACTTGCACAACGACGCGGCTGCCTGGCCTCGTGAAGACGCTGCCGTCGAGCAAAGCAGCGCGCGGCGCATTTGTGGGTGCAACGGCATAAAAAATATTTGACGTTTATTGCATAAGTAAGTGCTCGGCAATATGCGCGTCAAACCGCTAAAAGTAGCGGAAATATTCAGTGGTCGTACACATGGCCTTACACAGCCATTGCCATAAATTATGGCATTATTGCCTTGACGATCGACCGAGTGACGCTCGTTAAATTGCGTACATGTCTTTGAAATTAGACTTCCGTAATCCGAGCGGCCTCAACGTGAAATTTTAAAATGTTGTCCGAGGTTATCGCGCAATACACGCGTCATATGGTACGGTATAACATTTAACTGATAAACGCGGTGATTAATGCCGTTGCGGATTCATTGTACTGCATCGCGCGTAATATACAAACATCGATAATAAAATTGCAAACATTTTTCATATCCTAAAACAATTATATAAAGAATGTGAAACATGATAATTAATACTTTTAGAAGTAATTCTTGGAAAAGCATCGTAAAAGCAAAATAAACTGTATATCTGAAATAACTGCATAGTATTAATCATTACTTTTGAAAATCTTAGAAAACTTATCCTCATATAAGAGAATATGTAATTTTATAAATATCTAGCTTGAGGTATAATGCTATTCAAAAATAAGATATTTAAGTAGAAGCGATAGCATCTTTAAAACATAGGCAAATATTATTTCCGATACATTATTGGAATATAATAAAATATGCCGAAGTTTTTACTACCAAAAGTGTCAGATTTATTATATCTAAAATCACTATGTAAAATTATTACAGTGTTATTTTTCTCTTGACCTGTTTATTTAATGATCGATAGCTTTCGAGAAATACATAAATTTTGAAATTATTTCAGATCGGAATTTGCAGGGAGAATATTTTTGCATACTTTATATCTTGCGTCATTTGACAGGTAAATAATAACAGATCGATGAGTAATATTAACAACCAAAGATCTGCAAAATATTGAAACGCTTTACAACAGGGCATTATTCAATATAGCAATTAAAAATTCGTTGCGATTGATATTGCGCTCGTTTGCATACATTTCATTCCGAAATTACATTATAAAGAGGAATTGATAATTGTTATAAAGGAATTGTTGCCGGGCCGATAAATGCAGCAAATATACGAGTAAATTTATATATTTAACTATACAATATTTTCACCGAGAGAAGCCTTCTGAAAGTTTCTGCAGGAATAGCCGTTATATTCTAGCGCCGAAAGCTGCAACGAGTTTCAAAAGCAAAATTTGTTCGTCGAAAAGTAAAATAAAGCATTGTAATTCAACAACGAGAAGTTTCACGTCATACTTCAGTTGATGGAGCAATTCGCTGCTCCTTTGTATGATAATAACTTTTGTGACTAACTGTTTGGAGTAACACGAGAAAAATAGCGACAATAGTCAATTATAACGACAACGTTGATTAAAATAATAAAATTTCGAGAAAAAATGTAACGGAAAAAGGCACTTAAATTGGTACTTGACAGTGTGTGTGTAAATAAAGAGAAAAAAAATGTCAATGAAACACGTAATTGTGATACCACAATAACGTGACGAGTGTGGATGTACACTACAGTTGGAATTATTACGAGTTATCGATCGGGAATTATTCCACGTACAGTGTAGAGACACGTTTGAGGCACGTTAGACGTAAGTAACTGGCAGATATAAGCAGGTCTGTGAGTGAAGTGTGCGCCTAGTTCTCGTCCAAAATAACAATGCAGGCGGTAGGAACAGTATCGTTATTGCATAGCTAAGCAACCATCACTTGTTTGCAGGGCGAAACAGTCTCGTTTGCAAACCGACAAAGAGGTATTGTTCTTTCGAGGGATCTCTCCAACACGCTTGGTTCCTACTATTTACACGGCCTAACTCAACATCGTATCCCAAAGTTCGTATGGTTCTCCACGAATGACGTACTACAGGACAGTCATATTTCGCAAGAGCATCATATATATCTCTAAAATATGTAATGTAATTTATCTAATTTATTTATCTATTTATCTCGAAACTTTGTGCAACGAACAACGATTGCTGAACCAGTTATAGTTGCAAACAACATACGCTGTACAGATGGCAGTTAATTTTTTGTCAAATAAGAATTATTTGCGTTAAGCATAATAGAAAATGAAACCAAGTAAAAAGAAAATTTTTAGTCTCTTTTAATTTCAATACAATTTTTTATAATTTTTTGATTGTTATTCATACAGAATGCACTTGCAAAAGAATGTTTGATCAGAATCTATAACTTATTATAATTGCAGAAAATATATCATCGATACAATGAACTTGACACACAATTCTTATAACGTTAACTTATATACAAATAATTAAAAAAAAACTCGACCTCATATATTATGGAGATGTTTTCTTTATTATTTTGACATAGATATCATCGTGATTCTCTCACCGCCGATTTTTAACGGAGTCGAGTGCAGAAACAATGAAACTGAAGTACAAGAACTCGCGAGTCCGGCGCTATTCACGGGAACTTTCCACAGAGTGCCCTAAAGTCCAGCGAGTCCAGATAAGTTATCGTCCCAGTTGAATCTCGACAACAAATCTCTCGAGAGTAACAGCATTTTATCCGACGCGAGAACGGGACTGACCCACGAGCTTCTCGAAACTCGACGAACGAGAAATTTTCTGAAAGTCGTTTGCGAAAAGTACGACAGTTCAATAAGCACATTCGACGACACGATCTTACAGGATCAATGAATTCACCGATTTTCGCGGAAGATTCTTGCGAGACAGATGCAATTTTTATCTATAAGTATAATGTACGAGAACAGAAAGAAAGATCTATTCAAACTATACATAATTTCCGACATAATAAATATAGCTACGTTTCTACGCGATCTACTAAATATCATTTATTAATCATTAAATACATTATTATGTAAAAAATAAAATATTAATAAATATGTGTTGCGTAATATTATTATATTTTAGTTAAATGCTTAAAGTTACATATTGAAGAGTTGAAATTTAAAAGTTAAAAATACAATAATGTAATTTGTCTCGACCCTGTTAAAAAATGAGAAAAATTATTCATCTAGAACCATTTTTAAAAGTTATCTAGTGTAATCAAATCTTACCATTAACGCTGCAATAGTCAATATAGTCACACAGTCACATCAGGTACAATAGCCTGTGAAAAATGCGATATTTGTAAGAACGACGATAAAATTACAATTACATGACATTACGTTTATCCGGAATATTACGCGCGTTATTTCGTTTTTTGTGCGCGCCAATAGCGCGGCGTTTATTTTTCCTCGCTGAGCAAAATTGCGCTCATCGCGCCCCATTTAGTAAATGCGTCTCTGACCCGATTACAAATATTCCCGCGATCGAATCTTTTCCACCAAGCGTACGCCGTTTAATACATTAAATACAAATACTCGTTATGCAACTCACATTTACGCGTCTGAACGCCGCGCCGTGCAGAAAATATCGTATATTTTGCGATTGTAAAAGTTATAACTGTGAATGTCCGCGCGAGAATTCCAATACGCGCGCCGGAAAAGATACCTCACCCGATAGAAATACGGTCGGGGAGGCGCGGGGGAGGAGGGATGCAGAGTGTGAAGATGAAAAGTTACAAGAATGTTATTACCGCCATGAATTGCCAAAGGCAGGTTGCGTTTTCCAACCCGTCGGAAATGTTCCCCAGCGGTTCGCAGCTCTCGCGGCATGCTTTTTGCTCTTCAAACTTGTTCCATTTTCTATATCGAAATGCGATGCGAAATCTCATCGAGAGGCACGAACGTAATACCATATAAAAGTGAATATATACGAACATAGGTGGAGAGAAGTATTCGTGCTTTCGAAAAGATTGACAGAGTGTATCAAACCGATGTAATGGAAAACGGTAATATCAGCAATATAATTACCAGTAATATTTTTAAAAATGTATACTTATCGTTCTTTCTACTTGCAAATATACTGCATTATTTCACAACATATTAGCAAAAAGTGAAAAAAATTCTGCTCGTTATTTAACAATTTTTCAAAAATTTTATTAACCAAACTAACGTTAAAGATTTGTATATTATTATGATCAGTTATTTAAATGATGGTGATTAAACCACGCGTTACTCTGTTAATATACGATTCTCATATTCCTATAAATTGCAATAACTAATTAAACATTATATCTCCATGTCACAATTTATACTTGCTAATTCATGTTCGGCAATTACCGCGGGAGCAATAATTTACGGTGAAATTTAATTATTATATAATTGTTGTTTAAGATTACACGTATAGCAATTATAAGCCATAAATGACTTTAACGCAGTATCATTTTCGATTGAGTATCACTATGAAGATGTCGATAACGGTAAAATCGCGCATAACCTGAAGATAACTAAAGTTCGTCGATATAAT